AAATCCGTGAACAAAGATTTCCCGCAAATATCGAGGAAGTGAAATTTTGTACCCTGGTTATTAATTATTTCTATGTCCTTTTAAGTGCAAATTACTTGATGTCTTTGATGAGCATTTGAACTCATCTATGTCCCGGAAGCTTCCGTCACCAGTGGGGTAATCTGACTCATTCTTTTAGTGGCAAATCTATGTACTGCCCGATGTTTCCATAAAGATGTCTAACTAGTCAAAAACATTCGGGGTTTTAGTTCTCTTGTCAACAGTTTTGAGCACCGGTTTTGAGCTTTGTAAGATAGTATTTTTAATTGCGACATCATTGGGCGTGTTGTTGAGTGTACCGCTGAAATACAGCTGCAAAGCCTAACCGTCGCTGAAAAAGTAGAACTAATTAAAAATACATCTCTTTTTTCATCAGAAACTTATCACCCCACAACTGAAAAATCTGCTAATTATTAATCAGATTTCCTCAACTTTTACAGTTGTTGCCTGCTGATTGCGTTATAGCCCAGCAAAGAAAGTTTAAAGGCGAGAGATAATTATCACGTTGTCAATGAAAACGTAATTAACCTTTTTTTTACCGGATACAGTTATTCTCTAGCTATAAAATTAGTGCCTCAGGAGAAAAAGCTTGTAACAAAGGACTCTGATCTTATCAAGTCAACTCTAGCAAGGATCTGCTATAAAATAAAGGAAGTTCTCCTGCTAGACAACTCTCAATCTGTGAATCTTTGTCAGCTGGCTCGTCTGATCCTTATAACGGTCTGGTTGAACTTCATTTTGAAGTAAGTACTCTTCCATCCTGGTAAATAAGAAGGTATAGCCTTACGTTTTGGTTAACGTTTTTTCACAAATATTTTAAACGTAGCGAGGCGCGAAATTCAAACCGTGAATCTAAATTTATTTGCTCAAAATTCCCAGGGGGTATTCCCGGGAATTTTAGGTGAGGGTGTACCGTCCGGTTCCCTGTTTCAGACTAAAAAAATGTTATTTTCCATACTCGTTTTCAGACCTGGTATATAGGTAGAAATTAATTCATCATTTTTAGACTAGAGCTCAAACAGAAAGATTTCTTAAAATACATTTCGATTTCGCATATTGCTCTTTCTTTCTGAATCATTTGGAATTGAAACGACAATGAGTTCGTACACTCCTGTAGCTCCTCGAAAACCAAACCTGATTCCAGACCAAAATGGTCAAGGTTTATCCCTTTTTTCAGACCAAAACGGCGCCAAAACCCTCCCTTTGGGGAGGCACATACATATATGGCTTAGATAAGGGATTCCTCCCGGGTCAAAAGTACGATTAGAAGGCTGAATTTCACAGAACGTGTTAAGCTTATTGTACTTGACAGTTATTGAGTGAGGCCCCGGGGGTACTGCCTTATATGGCCCATAGAGGTATGTGCCGCTGTGAAGGGTATGGTTTTCAAGCAGTTTACTCTGGGATGGGGTATATAAATCAGAGAGTTTGGGTCTAGAATAGGGTATGATTTTCCAGGAAACTGATCAATTGGTTGAAGATTTTAGTCTAGACAAGGGAAATCAGGAATTGCGACTCAAAAATATAAAAAAATCAAATGGGTTTTGTTTTGGCTGGTCTGTGCTGGTTTTGCAGGGTGCTACATACCTCCCAGTTGACCATTTTACGAAAAACGTACCCCTTTTGTGTACCTTCTACCTTGTTTAGAACTTTGCATCCTTTTTAACTGCTGTAAATGAACTATCTTTTAAATAGGAACCAATCATAAAAATAGAACGTTTTCTCGACTTTATAAAGTCATACATTTCATCTGTTAGCCCTTCTGGGCCCTCTCACAGACCACAAACGCCAGATTTCCCTACCCTTTTATATACTTCAACGTGTAAAATCCCAAATACCCGAAGCCTCCCCGTATAGGCCATCATAACGAGTACCCATCCTCCCCGGGGCTATGTCTACGCTATTCCGGAATGGAAAACCATATGATGATGATGAACTTTATGTAAGTGTCAATAAATCTTCTTGCTGGCCTGTTATGGCCTGTTAATGGGGGACAGAACTAAATAATAGGCTGATTTAGCAACAGGATGGGAACGTCAGTTGACGACGGGAAAGCGCGCAGAAAGGACTAAACACGACTTCCGGTGCTCAATTTGCCGCGCTGCCATTGGTCAAGCCAGTTGTTTGATTTGCGCGCGCCGTCGTCAACTGACATTCCCGTTCTGTTGCTAAATCAGCCTAATACTTCTTCTCACACACGAGACTAAAGGTTATTTCGCACGAAGCCTGCGCTGCGTTAGTCTGCCACACAGTCGTTTTTAGTGTCGCACGCAACGCTCTGTGGGGAGCGTGACGACACTAAAAACGGCTGTTTAGCAGACTAGCGCCGCGTCGAGCTTCGATCGTCTGATTCTTTTTGCGCAGTGTGAACACTCTCCAGTGTTAGTGGAATTAACCACAAGCGTTGTAATGTAAACCTGTCATTTGCAAATGAAGTGTTATCAACATAATTTTTTACCATTTTCCACGTTTTTCCCTAGAAATATGAAAGGAGTGTACTTTATATTCATACTGTTGCAACTATCCACACTATGTGATAAAACTCATGCAGGGCCGCTGACGGATGAATCAGAAGGTAGAACAGTCAGAGAATTCAGTCGTTGGATGCCACCTGTAGGTTCTAGGAACCCTTCCAATATTCCGGGGTTTGGCACTGGCAAAAAAGATGAGTTACATGATCACCTGTCCATGCTACATGTTGGTCGTAGAAACTTCAACGGGTATCCAGGCAACGAGGTTTAGTCAGAGAAAGTCATCCTGCAGGCTAATAAGACTAACAATTTATTGTATCGAAACACCATGTACTGAAGAACTGACAATAATTATTCTTACGCGATAAATCTTGATAAAAAGAACCAGCATTGTCAAATAAAAATGCTTGATATATTTAAATGACGGAGTCTTCGGTGTTCCCCAACTTCCATGGACACGTCGGGTCAACTCTACGCCTGAAACTGCAGTCTAGGAATAACTTTTACAATTTTTATTGGTTTTAGTCATAGAACTTTGTATTCCAAACAATCGTATGTTTTTTTAGGTTTCGATTGAACGGTCTTTGGCGGGAAAATGACGTCACATGATTGACAGCAAATTAAAATTTCAACTAATGATGTAAAAAATACAATAATTTTTAAAGAGCACGACGCGATCAAATCAATTGTGAAATTTTTTTTGAAAAGCTCAATTGGATAAAAAGTTTTTAAGCTTTCATTATTTAATTTTCGGCCCTTTTGTTACTATTTTTAGAAACATAAGCAAATTTCAAAATGCTCTCCAAAAGCAACTGAACCTTTCAAAAAAAATTTTTACATTTGTTTCTACCCCGTCGAGCTCTTTAAAGATTATTTATTTTTTCTTCTCTAGCTGAACGTTAAATTTTGGAGTCAATCATGTAACGTCATTTTCCCGCCAAAAAAAACCGTTAAAATCGAAAAATAAAAAAAAAACATACGATTGTTTGGAATACAAAGTTCTTCCATCCTGTAAAGTATGAACTCAAACGGATGAAAACTGTAAAGTTATTCCTAGGCTGCAGTTTCCGGGGTAAAGCTGACCAGCGTGACAACAGGTAATTTTTGTTTAAAAGAGCCTTGTGAAAATATTAGTGACACTTAAAATGACCATAAAAGGAGAAAAATTGTCGGTCATTGTTGACCCAAATATGCGACCCAAAGTTTGATATGCTCCGACTTCTTCTTCTAGGCTGAGAAGTTGTCATGAGTAACGGCAGCGTTATGGTTTGACAGCAAATGAAATCAACTGAAAGCAGACATTTCGCTTAATTTCTTTCAAATGCCATGGTCTGGCTATGTGATGTTGGTCTATTTACTGAAATGTAAAATTGCGATAACTGCAAATACCTAAATTTTATATAAGTCCCTTTTTATTTCATCAAAATCACTTGTCTCATTATCATTTTGTTGTATATAATTATTTAGCAATTAATGAACGAGGCTGAGTAGGATATGAAGAATTAAGCAGATCGAGGAGGGTGTCGGCCTCGGTGGATAACAGCCTCCAAGATCTGCTTAATTCTTCATATTCTACGAAAGCCAAATGGATTAATTGCTTTATTATTCATTCAAAATAATTCGTAGTTTAAAAACATAGCTAAAACATGCTCACCTGCATCGATCAACGATGTAAAGTTCATCTTCAATAGTTTACGCAAATATTCACCAAATGGCAGATTTCGCGCTCTGAGTTGTCTTCTTGCTGTTTTTGCCATGTTTTTAGCCATTATTTCGCCTAGTTCCAGCTATAGTTCTTACCCTTGAAACGAGTGAAATGTCCGCCATTTTTTTTGTCACAACCAAAGCAACTCAACCTCGTCCCCAATTTTTCACGACAGTTTGAAAATTTCGAAATTTACAAGGATTTGTATGGAAAACTATTCAAGCGTGACTGGGTGGCAAAAGTTAACACAGTCGTAAAAATATCCCAGGATACTACACACTTAATCGTCCAATTAGATATACGAATTTCATATTACTTGAGGAGTTCTGAAAATTTCTAGGTGACCGTTCCATTCATATACAATTTTAGAAGCTTATCTAATAAATCCCCTACGATTTTCTGAGGTTTGATTTTTCACATTTCACTACCCAGGCTGGGCTATTTTCCGTTCAAAAAACGAATCCTAAAATGTTCGGATTTAAAAATGTGATAGAGAGAGGAATGAGAAAAATTCTCACTTTCGTAATACGTCAAATTGCATCTAAAATTTTAGGGAAAATAATACTGAAGCCCTTGTTATTTCCGACACTCAAGTTACCCTAGGATGACCGAACAGGAGTAAATTTCATAGCACCGCTACGAATGCATTTCTAGAGATCTTAAACTACTCTGGATAGCCTAAAAATAGCCGGTTTTCAATCCATTTAGGAGGAAACCATCGTTGGGTGCCCCTGAGAGTGCTGGACATAAGTGAAAGTAAGGGAACTATAAAGACGTTTTTATTTCCTTTTGCTATGCATTTTATTTGACACAGTCATCCTGATTTTCAACGCTTAAGGATTAAAACTCAGCTCTCGGCCATGGTTCAACAGAGTTACTCTTTAAACTTGAGCTCAGGTAGGACGACCTTGTCTGGCTCATCTCCCAGGCCTGGACGCCAGTTGGGGTTTTTACCAGCGCTAGGTGGTATTGGCTGATCCTCCGACTCATCTCTTTTGCCTGGAAACCAGCGCCCTCTAAACGAGACTGGTGGAGCCCGGGGATCATCTGACGCTTCTCTTTTGCCTGAATTCCAGTGTGCTCTCAATTTATTTGGTTGTAAAGTCAGGTAATCATCTGATGCATCTCTTTTCCTTTGATATTCTCTGACCGTTTTATCTCCTGATTCATCCGTCAGCGGCTCTGCATGAGTTTTATCAAGCCACAGTGTTGACAGTTGCAGCAGTATCAATAAAAAGTACACTCCTTTCATTTTTCTAGGGAACAAAAGGAACACAGTAAAACTTGTGTTGATGGCTGCACTTGCACTTGCACTTGCAAATGACGTTATTAAGTAACATTTGTAAACCTGAAGAAGGCTGGTATGACCAGCTGAAATGTTGTTTTGAAAAAGCAACACACTTTGTTATGATCGGCTTTGCATTTATTTAGTCTTTGGATTACTCGTTTTTTGGTCCTTAAAATTTTAGCTGATTAGATCTCTTTTCTCGAGATCCAATGTTGACAACCAGCAGGATCTTCGTCCACGGTTTTCGCAGTTAATTTCTTTATCATTATTACATCATAACGCTAACCTGGAAATCAGTTGAAGTCACGTTTTCAAAAAATCCCACTCTTCAATAAAGCTTGGAAGAATTTCACTTACAGGAAAATTTGTTAATTATAGGATCGCATATTTAGTATATGAATTACTAATGAACTTCTGCATCATTCTTTTTCTTTTTCTTGCATTTTTGTCCAGTTGTATTATAATTGCAAACTCGTTCCCAGGGCTTTTCCCTCAAAAAAGGGAAAAGCCATGGGGACGAGGTTGTTATAATTGTACCTTAATTCTTTTACTTACTCCGGTGAATTAAGGAATGGGGGACTGCAAATTTGGAGTGGGGTGGTCTGTTTTAGCGCGGATTTTACCTTTCGCATTAATATTTTAAATTCAATATCTACTTCCCATGAGCATTCATTTTTCATTATTACTTGTAATGTATTACCTGTGTCTCGTGACTTGTCACTCCCATTTTTGACTTTTTATTTCAATCCAAATTTACACCACTTTATAAATAATACTTGTAATTTAATTCACTTTTTGTCAATGACCATTGACACAAAGTTTATGGAATTAATCGGGGTTTTCTTAAATTATCTACGTTTTGTTAACTATAACGTTCCTTGTTAAGAGGGAGACTGGGACAAGAGAAAAATATCTAATAATTACGACGGAATGGATCATTTCACAAATCCCCGATTAATTTAGCTTAATTGACTGTAAATGAAATATTATGGAAGGAAAAACGATTGTGGTCACATGTAATCTTCAAAGTCCAAATTTTGCATAATTATGGGCGTGGCTGGTCACGTGATCTAAAAAAAAGGAGTGTTTAAGGTCCAAAGCGGTTCTGAGCTCAAACACAGTGGTCTAAGACTAAAATAAAGGAGGGTACTGGAAAAAACAAGATCAAGTTATAAAACCCCGCATGTAATGAGGACCCATTCCTAAATTCACGGGAGTATTTTAAACTACTGTAACTGTAACTTTTGTTGTGTAAATAAACGGATGTTAAAACTTATTACTCTATAACGCTTATTGATTTATTTAACTATTTGATATTAACTTTGTTCATCAATTTTGCGGGTTTAAGACGTTTAATCACCCTAGATAGACGGCTGTACCACATACACTGACGTGGGTTTGTTAAAACACATTGGCCATAATAAATTTGGGCTAACGTTTTGCATAAGCATTTTTTTTTGGGGGGGGGGGGGACAACTGTAATACCTGGGGGAAATTGAAAACACTTTTATGCATTTTATTTAGCTATTTTTTGTGTGGGGAAGGGTGGGGGGCGGGGGGAACAAGGTGAATTATGGGTAATGAGAAAGTGGCGAATTAAAACAACAAGTTTCCTTTTAAGTGGAGGTTCGGGTAGTTTTTATATCCATTTTGGGTTTTAGCTAAATAACTGCTTGCAAAAGAGAATTCTCTCTTGCTGTTTGCATTGGTTAGCGTTTCGCTGATTTATGAAAATCGCCGCCATACAATACGGCGACATTGTGCATAATCAAACAATTACCTTGCTACTTATTTGCGAAATCTGAGTGATTCTTCTTAGCGAAAAACGCGGTTTACTTTGTATTTTAACCTACTGTGTTGCGTGATTAGTTTTCATAGTTTCCACTCATTTATCAATAATTTTGCGACAGTCGCTCTCCGTTGCCATCGGGTTGGGTGAAAATAATGCTCAGAGGAATTTGTTTTTTATCCAAATGTTACTCTCGGTTTTAACCAGATTTGGTATTAAAATGGATGCTAAGATACCGAAAAGCAGTGAAACGAAAAAAGAGTCATTAAAAGATGTTAGTTGTATTTACCTTCTTCTCTTCTGCTTCACTTGTGCATATGTTTCTGCCGCAATTGGTTTTTTTGAAATCTTAAGCCAAGAGTAGGTTGCTAGCGAGTTCACCAGGCGGCAAATTTTGACCCGGACATCGATTGGCATAATGGCTTTTAATAGTTTTCGTCCTCAGTTCCGATTAAATCACTACTCGCGTAGTCTGCACAGATAAACCGCTTATCAGCACACGAGAGGATTCAATAAACATAATCAGGTTTTTTTTTGCATCCGGTTGAAAAAGTAGCTACAAAAACTTCAGCTTAACTGAGTAGCTAACAATAACTATTGGTTTATAATTTTACTAGAAACAGCCTAAATCTCTATTTAAAAACGGAAGCAGGAAGAAGGGTATCTCTGCAATCAATTGAACTTTAATTTGTTTTAACATATCTAATAGGAAAATAATCGTTTTTGTATGTATCTTCTATAGTAGTTATCGATACCAAAGTGGAGCAGGCAGTGTCAAGTTCACGATTTAACAGATACAAAATTTTGTATTGTCTATTCATTCATTTGGGGTAGTGGCTTACATCATTTAATCAAGCAATTTATAAATCTTGGTATTAGAATGGACAGAAAAATGAGTGAGCTTAAGGTTATTTACTACTTTATTTTTATAAAATTCTTGCTGCTTATTAGACCATCCATGAATCTCTGAAAGAAAGAGACCTTAGAGTTTTGACGCGCTCAATGATGATATAACAGCACTGTGTTTTAAACAAAACGTGAAGTTATAATCAGCGAAGTGACGATCGATACATTCATCCATGATCAGCAAGCCTCTGTTCGTTAAATTCATACACAATTTCTTTTCTCGCGTTTTAACATCGATATTGGTATTATTACTCTAACATGCGCTCGCTTTTTCCGTAATTGTAATAACGTACTAATCAATTGTATTCCAGAATGCAAATAGGATTTCTTAACATTTCCAAATTCATTCCTGTTAAAGAAAGAAATGGAAGATCCATTCATTGTCTTGTTTGCAATTAACTTAGAAGGCCCCTTTTTCGTAATTGGTATATTTTTAATGACGGTAACATGGGGTTTTGGTTTTCCTAGATTAGTAATTGATACATTTAATAGTTTGGATTGCAAACGGATGCTGATGATTACCGCTAAGATACGGAAAATTATCCTAGATTGTATTTTACTTAAGACGGTGCAACTTGAATTAGCGCTAGCTAGGAGCCACTGCGGAAGGCTCAATGTTGGAAGTGATCATTGCTTATATCTTACTTTTTATGCATTTCCTTCTTGTGTTATCGCTTGTCATGTTGAATAAGACAATTATAGTAATACTCATAAACAAGCGAAATTGTACGCACGTTTTGGTGTTTGAGCTGATTTTGAATCGAATCACGTTCCAGTACAGAGTCTGTAACTGATTTTCTAAAGTACGATTATAATCAGTTAATAAAAATGCTTTACATTTTGTTGTTGTTGTTTTTTTATATCATGATTTCAAGCTATTGCACTTAAACAACCACCACGACTTATTTAAGGTCTCGGTAAAGGAAAACGAGGTGCCCACAGAGAAAAATTCTAGTCGCGCGAGTATTTTCGCTACAAAGGCAAGTTATATATCAAATTAAAGCTAAAAGACTAAATTACCTTATAAAATATTTTATTTCATCGAATTTCAAAAGGCGCTTAAGTTTTTTGCTCTCGAACTCAGAGGTATCGAGTTTACTGCTGAAGCTCCAGCCCTTTCGCGTTGTTAAATATTCACTTTCTTTTTATTGCATCTGATTGACAGATAAAAGACCTAAAAAAGGGTGTGAGGAAATTTGCATATGTCTCGTATTAGGGGAATTATTACATTTCAAACTAAAAAGTCGAATCTCGAGCGCGATTTACGCAAAGAAACTGACATAAAATGAGTTACAAAGGGAAATCGGAAAATTCCTCACACCCTTTTTGAGTCTATATCATTATCCATCATATCTGAAAGTTTCAAAGCGATAGCTTAAAACCTGTCTTTTGATTTTTGCGTCTGAAATAGAGTGAGAGAAAATCAGCTCTAAAGATTTAGCGCGAGGTCCACGCTTGGCTGGTTAGCTCAGAAAAAGCTCATTTTAGAAGGGTTAAAAAGCACTTTCTGATTTTCTTTTTCTGCCAAAATAAAATTTAGGACCCACTCATGCCAAAAATCCAAAAAAAAAAAAAAATCGAGCAATGTTCTAAAATTTTCATTTACCGAGACCTTAACTTCAACAACTACTGACTGAGAACACCTTTTTACGTCCACCTCAGAAAACGCAGGGGCACCCAATGACTGAATGCTTCTAAATACGTCAAAAGTGTCATCATGTTTCTGAAGTTAACAAATCTATTCTTATGCTTTAACTCGCTGGATAGATGACTATTTTTAATCATTTCTTTCCCTTGTCTCCCTCAAGAAAATTTGTTACTTCTTATTGTCTCAGCCGGGTAAGCTCCATTTTAATCTCTGACAGCGCGGAGGCTAATTTTGAAGGACTTTCTGGAAACTGTTAAGCTGACTTTCAATAAACGTTTAAGTTCAGTATCACTTATGAATAAATCAGTTACGAGTTAAGGTGGATATGATCTTCAATCGTCAGAACGAAAATAAAGCGTTAAATTAAAGAGTATTACTACGTGCTGAAAATGTAGAACAAAATTAAATAAAATGAATATATTGCATAATATTTTTGGGAAAAGCATTTTAAATTGTTGCAGATATTTCAAAGCTTCATTAAGTACTGGCCCAACCGACTTAACAAAGGAGAACCAGTCATGAACAAGAAACCCTAAAAAGTGACGGCCGAAAGCAGTTGTTCCGTTGGCCGCAATCAGGACGCGCTTTCGGTATGACTTTTTCATGTTATACTACTACAGGAGAAATTTCTGCAATTTGATTGGCTTAGAGCAGTGGTATTTCAGCTTAATTTGAAATACCTACAAGTGAAAATTACAAACCTTTTGCGGGTAGTAGTATGAACAAATAATAGCAGGATTTGTACGTGATATTTGGCATAAAATACCACTCGTGATATTTCAAAATTGTCTCAAATTTCACTCGCCCAACGGCTCGTGAAATTACGTATAACAATTTTGAAATATCACTCGTGGTATTTATGCCAAATATCACTACAAATCATGCTATTACCTATACAAAGTCAGAAACAAAATTGTTAGCTCGTTAAAATGTAATATTGAGGCGGTAATTCTGAATTTTTTTGGTGATAAAAATCAGTGCTAATGACATCCGCCCATTGAAAATGGCTTTAGCTCGCACCTGTTGCGTTCACAGGCATTAAGGACACAACTTGTCAAACGGAAGCTTTACTAAAGAACTAGAAAAGACACATCTCAACTACGGTGATAGTGAGTAACACATTCGGTTGTCTCATTCACTGTTCAAAAGGAAATTAGAAGTCAAGGGAAAGTTATTGAGAGGGAAGCGAAGTTTGTATCTTTTAATGCTGGACTAACAGCTATATGACTAGTTGATCACCTTCTAATTGTCAGAATATCAGAGGCTGATTTGTTGTTTATAAATTTAATTTCTTGTGATGAAAATTTTAAGCGTCCAACTCGGAAAAATTAAGTTATTTTCAGGCGTTTTTTTGCTTACTGACCCCGCGTTAAGTGGGTTAAAGCACCAGGCAGTGATTGTTTTTGTTCGGAAAACAAATAGTGGGCCTTTCAAAATTAATGCGACTCTCTCTAAATTATTTTAAAAAAACCCATCGATAAACAGAAAATTTAGAAATTGATTGCGTTATTTTCGTTGTGGAAATGTCCTTATCATTTCTTATCATATGTTTCCGAAAAGCGGAAAGAAAGTGTGACGGTGAACTTTGATTCTGTAGGACTAATGTTTTTTTTTTTAGGCAAAATACATTCTCTAATAATTCTAATTTAATAATTACCATTCTCTTTATTTTTTTCTTCTTAATCTAAGGGAAAACTAAATGTAGGGTCTAAAGGAAATAGACCGAACTCGGCTTAAAATGCTACAATCACAGCAAAAAAGAGAACCACTTTTAAATTCTTTCTTGTTGTCTTTCCTCTGGCAAAACTTTCCCCTTTTAACACAGTAAAGCAACGATGCAGTTGTACATTTCCAACATTCCCAACTACTTTTGTCCGTGTCTGTAGTTATAAAGTGTTTTGAGTATTTTCCTTCGCTATCAAATTCGTTTATTAAAAAAAAAAAATGCAAAAGTTCAAATTTTTTTTGGTGAAATCCTAACAAATAAATAGCACCATGCACTGATAAGGTCTGCTAAAGAGGTTTCTTTGAATGATAACAAAGTATGATTTCGTTCACAGATGCAAAAGTTAAGGTACTGACAAATATTCTAAGCAAAACCTGGTCCAGGAGTGAACGAGTTACATAATAAACAGCTTCGGAGTAAGGACAGTTATTACGTCATAACCGACAAGAAAAAATCATTGAAAAACCTGCTGTCATCCGGATCCCCTCCCCTCCTTGAACTTTAAAGAATCAGCTCACTATCGAAGTTGGCGCAGTCTTGTCAAACGGCAGTAAATGATAGCTAATCATGTTGTTTGAAGCTTTGGTTTTTATTCAAAATTGTCATAGCATCGCAACCTACTTTACAAATCCATGTGCTTTAATTTTTTTACAGTTAGTTTGTCATATAAGCAACAAATCCTTTATAGTCTTTGTTTCAAGGCATAGCATTAAAATTTTCCCTTCTGCCCTTGCGCAAGCTTCTATCCTCGTGATCTTTCCAGGCAGCTACAGTTGCGTAGTTTCTTGGTTTATATGTCGTTATTTCATGCTGACAATGTTGTCTGGCATAGAGACAGGTGCTCTGAAGGGAAACTGGATAACGCTTTAAGAAAGTAAAAAACATATAAAAACCAGTTATATCGGTGCAGTGTAAGAATCTGAGCTCATCAAACGCTGCATGCCTGTTCACATTGGTAAAAAAGTGCAATGATTAAAAACGTCTTTATTAACTCAAAATATTAAGCATAGAAAAATTTGTCCTTTCCGTTATTTTTTTTCACTTTTTTATACATTTAGATTGCCATTATGCCAAAATTTCTGAAATGCACGTATTTTAATTGAAAAGTTTACCCCAGAGAAAATTCATTTGAATAGTAATAACACAACAACTCAATT